GAGAGAGAGAGAGAGAGAGAGAAAGAGAGAGAGAGAGAGAGAAAGAGAGAGAGAGAGAGAGAGAGAGAGAGAGACAAATGTTATGGTATTACTCAATGTCTTGAGTCGAGATGTGATGTGTAATTAGAAAACACAACATATTTAAGTATTTGGTTGGTTTTGATTTAAAAATCTCAGCAGGTTCTCAGTGGCTTTCATGCATAGTAGGTCCGTATGTATGTTGTGTTGCGGGGGGTATACTATCATCTTATGGTGATTGCAACCCAACATCTATGACAGATCGGACACACAATCATAAGCAGTACTGAACATAAACTATCGTTTTTATTCATCACTGCCTTTAAAGCCAAACGTAAATATCATTAGTCCTGCCGTTTGTTTACTCATCACTGACTCCATACAAGCACTTCATATATAACTAACAAAATTTAAATTAAATTGAAAATATTATTCTCAATATATAAACCCATCACTACTCACGACTCGGGAGTCACTCAATAAGTTATAAATGTTTGTCAAAATACTAATGCTATGCTAATTGCCTTACATTTTAAAAATAATACCAACTTTAGGATGCTTTCAATAATTAAAATTTTTTACTTTTATATCAATTGTTCAAACATAAGGCTTATTAAATAATCATAAAATGCAATGATCACAACTATGGACAAATAATTTAAAATTGAAAAATTATGAGAAATATATGTTTATATTTTAGAAAAAATATGTGAAAAATTGAAAGTTTCGGGTCATTGAAAGCACAACTCATTCTACAATGAGATGACCTCATCATAAACAGTGATATTATATGAGAATCGGGAGCCAATACAACACAACACAACCCGATTTGTTGAGTCGTTTAGCTTTCCTTTTCTGATATCACCTCTTCTTTCCGTTCTATTCATTCTCTTTCCTGACTCCGACTCCCATTCCCTTCAATTCCTCTTCTCTTTCCCTTTCAATCTATTTCTTTACCTAATATTACATTATATAAGGCATACAACACAGGCTACAGAATAGCACAACTATACCATATTTTTACTATCATTACAGCTCTCTCTCTCTCTCTCTCTCTCTCTCTCTCTCTCTCTATCTCTCTCTCTCTCTCGAAGTGATTAGAGCGCCAAACAGACAAATGCATGCATTCTTACGATTGACAAACCGATGGTGTGTTTCCTGAGGCAAACAAATCCACAATTAATAACACCGGGGTATCATTGCTAATTATGATATACTATGTAGTTCTTAATATAAAAATTGAAAATAGTTTGCATTGAATTATTGTGTGAATTGAATCACACGTACAGTAATAACATTGCATACTTTATAATCCATATGAGAAATATTTGTTTTTTAAACAATAATGTTTAGAATTTGCCATTTGTTTGAATGGTGTGATAGTTATTTAATAAATCAAATAAAAAATGAATTTAATTTTCGTCTTTGCGTTCATTTTTAGAGATTACTTGAGAGCTATAATGGATATTGTATTCGTTGACTACTGTTAGAGTTGTCTGAATTTGATTTATTATTTTAATTACAAGCGTAGGTCGAGATTGCAATTGTATTCACAAATCATTGTGTATTATATATTATTATAATCGCAATTTTATTATACATTCATGACTTGTCAGGGAATAAGATATTCAAAATTAGTACTATTAATATTAGCCTCAAAGCACAATCTTTTCACAGAAAGACATTATTAAATACGAGTTACTAATAGGAGCTAATTGTTGTGTAATAAACATAATTGACATTTGATGTCAACAAACAATTATTTAATTTTGTTGTTGAAAATGATTGCATTTATAGTTTTCTCTTGACTACGATTAAGATAAAAGTTAATTAAGTATTTTCTATTGAAATAATAAAAAATACTTTTCTTCTGTGTATTGAAAGTGAATTCTTTCATGAAATGATGTTTCAGTAAATTATAAAACATTTATTTTTGCTAAAAATGATTAGTTGTTGTAAGCAATTGGTTGGTGTAGTGGTTGTGATGGCATTTGTTTCATCGTTTCATTTGGGTCTTCATTGATCTCACGCTGAGTAAAGACATTAAAATACTAGTCTATCGCTCATGAATCACATGAATCACAGTTTTTTCACTTTTTACTTAAAAAAGCCACAGTTATGATCAAAATTGTGAAGCTCTGGCACTCATAAGAGCTTAACTTCTTAGAGTGGCCACTCATTTGGCTGTTAACCCAAAGAGAATATAATTATAGTTTTTATCGTTTATATCATTTCATATGATTTCTATGGTTTAGGAAAAGAGTAATCGATTGCAGAAGTGGTCCGAAACAGCTATAGAAGTGAATGATATAAAAAAGTTGGAAAACCTCAACGACTTGGACCTCCAACTCTCCAACACTCAAGTTATGCATCATTTGTCATCAATTCAAGCAAATGATTGCCATCTGAAACACAGAATCTTAAGAACTAATCAACACTCAGAGGTAACCAAACTGTTTGACTCTTGCAGTCAACCCTTCCGTTCACTTTATACTCACGATATCTTATCATTAATCGATAGTCCGATGAGTTCTTTGATTCGCAAATCAATAACCAAATGATTTACAACACATCACAACTCCAACCACAGCAACAGATTATCACACATTCCCATCAGTTAAGGGCTAATCCGCAACAGTATCACAATGGATTGGCAGCACATCCAGCACATCCAGCACATCCACAACAGCAGTACAACTCAATGAACAATATGTTAGTTCAGGACAAGATGTGGGAAGACATCACTGCCAGCATTTGCGATGACTTCGTGTCCATCAAAACAGAACCAACCATTGAGCACAACCACAGATACCAAACAAACCCCAATACAATCGATTCCAATCATGTCATGCAATCAAATGCCCAGCCTTTGCACCCGTCGTATATGAGACACTCGTCTAATATGCAGTCCTCCTCCCAGTCATTGTACGGCAATATTATGAACACTTCGTTCAATAACAATGTTATGTCAACCAATCTGTCCTCTAATATGTCATCCGTCCATCACTCCAACCGAGTGCTCCTCTACTTACCGCCCACTCCACCCAATTCAGAGCCCGGATCCCCTTCCACTCAACACCAGCAGCAGAGACAGCAGCAACAACAGCAACATCCCCGTCCCCATCACACACATCCCACACCAGTCCCTAACCTACCGCACCGACGGACACCTCCGCCGCCGTACAACACGTGCGGCACCAATACTAACGAACCACTCCATCATCAGATGACTTCCCTGTCACCGGCCATACATCTGAACAGCACTCGGATGTCTAGTTCTCATTCGCAACAGATCTCACACCAATCGGGAGCCACCGCTCCCTCTGTTCCTCAGCCGAGATATAATCGTCGAAATAATCCTGAGTTAGAGAAACGAAGAATACATCGATGCGATTATCCCGGTATGGCTTAGCTCTTAGCTCTTAACCTATAAAACATCCCAAATGTCTTATATTTGCCCAACAAATCGAGTCACTCGTGAGCACTGATGGGCACTGGTGTGCGTGCTTTAGGCTCATTAAGCCCTAACCATTCCCTCGTCTCCTTATCCCCTCCAATGCATCCCTCTCTTAGCTGTTGATGTCTTCAATGACTGACTATTAGACGAGATAAAGCCTTCACTTCACTAATTCTCTTACCATTAAAGACCTTCACTTTCGGCTCTCTCTCTCTCTCTCTCTCTCTCTCTCTCTCTGGATGTTGTGTCTTAGATGTGGTGTGAGTGCTGTTTCTCATGTCATTTTCACACACAAACTAATACACAGCTGTTATTCATTCATTGGTTAATTCTTTAATATATATTTATAATTCTTAGTACTAGTTATGGAGTGTTAGTGAAGTAGTGGTTGTACTGAATTTGCCATCTCTTCCTCGTATTGAATGTACAAAACAAATGACAAAACACTTAATTATATGAGCATTAGTGCAATCATTACAAACATTGCAATCATGTCATTAACGAGTTATTGCAGTTATAATTAACAAAAGACAAAAACTAGGCTTTTGGGGTATAGACTATAAAACAAATTATAGGAACAAATCATTTCAAAGTAAAGGCATTAATCATTCAACAGAATAATTATTACTATTGAGTCGTTTTGTCGTATAAAGTTAGCTAATCGTGTGAACCGATTGTCCCAATGCTTGTGTTTTAAGCAATTCATTCAAATGACATCATATTTAGAGTTATTGCAAACCATTTATTGTCTTCTTCTTGTTCTATAGGCTGTACTAAAGTCTACACAAAGAGTTCTCACCTGAAGGCCCACCAGCGCATACATACAGGTTTGTCTCCATTGTCTCCATTCACTCCATTGTCTTCACATTTATTTCTTCTTCTATATCTATATCTTCTTTACTATCGATTGCTATCTGTTATCGATATTAATAAACCAAAACGAATGCATAATAATTGTATGAATTGTGTTGCAATGATAGGTGAGAAGCCCTATAAGTGCCATTGGCCTGAATGTCAGTGGCGTTTCGCCAGATCTGATGAACTTACACGACATTACCGCAAACATACCGGCGCTAAACCATTCAAATGCAAAGTCTGCGAAAGGAGTTTTGCCCGATCGGACCATTTGGCCCTTCATATGAAGAGACATCTTCCAAAGCAACACAAATAGTATCCCTCTCTCGTCACCCCATCCCATGTCATCCCATTCCCATTCCATGGCTCGACCTGAAGACCATCTGAACACATGAAACGCTGATTCATATGTGCCTTATTTGGTGCACTTATCCATGAATACATGATTGTATGCCTTAAAGTATTATCGAATACTGAAATAAGTTTGAAAACTTATGATTCCATAGATTTGTGATTACATTGGATATCATTTGTAAATAAGTTATAAATAAGTTTGAGTAAATATTTTATATAAAATGTCTTTTAAACATAATTCCATTCATAAACACATTTTGTTAATTGTATTACACATATAAGTCACTTCCCATCAAATATAAAATGCAATATATTTTTCATATTCTATTTATATTATAAGAATCAAATGTATTATTATTTAAAGTTATGTAAAATGAGTGCATTTAACACAACACATAAACACCGGTCCACTTATGATACACTCGTGAACTGATTTTTTAATTTAATTATTCAATTTAAGTGCCTTTTTGTGAACTTAAAGTTTATGAACTCTTTTATAATGTATACAATTTCTATACAAATTATATACCATTTTTATAATTAATGTATTCCTCTTATTATGAATATATGTCATCCCATTCCCATTCCATGGCTCGACCTGAAGACCATCTGAACACATGAAACGCTGATTCATATGTGCCTTATTTGGTGCACTTATCCATGAATACATGATTGTATGCCTTAAAGTATTATCTAATACTGAAATAAGTTTTCAAACTTATGATTCCATAGATTTGTGATTACATTGGATATCATTTGTAAATAAGTTATAAATAAGTTTTCGTAAATATTTTATATAAAATGTCTTTTAAGCATAATTCCATTCATAAACACATTTTGTTAATTGTATTACACATATAAGTCACTTCTCATCAAATATAAAATGCAATATATTTTTGATATTCTATTTATATTATAAAAATCAAATGTATTAATATTGAAAGTTATGTAAAATGAGTGCATTTAACACAACACATAAACACCGGTCCACTTATGATACACTCGTGAACTGATTTTTAAATTTAATTATTCAATTTAAGTGCCTTTTTGTGAACTTAAAGTTTATGAACTCTTTTATAATGTATACAATTTCTATACAAATTATATACCATTTTTATAATTAATGTATTCCTCTTATTATGAATAAACAAAAGTCTCTTAAATCCAAACCAAAGCTTCCGATTCAAATTAGTTTTGATTAAAAAATTGAGTCAAATGTAAGACAAGAATAAATTGTCGATTGTTTTAATTAGCAGTTTATCTCATTTGAGAGATGACTGCCGTCTAAGTGACAGCCAGTCGTGCGCTAACTATTCAAACAATTATTCAAATTATTAATCTTTTTGACAATTATTATAATAATCTCAACAAAAGGTATCTTATTATGTAATATTAGGCGTGGGATTCAATGCTTATTAAGTATATTTATCCTCTCTTAAGACCACTTATGATATGTTGTGTTTAACAGCAATTAACTTAATATTAGTGTTAAATGAATTGTAAAAAACAAAATTGTTTACTATTGTTATTTTGAATAAATTGCAAACAATCATCAACTTATACGACATTACTATTCGAAACAAACGGAAAACTAAATTTGAAATAATTGTCGTACAATACGGGCGCAAAGATTGCAACAATTTTGAAGCCAACAAAAGTGAACATAAGTTATAATTTACAATATGTTAGACTAGTTTACAAGCCATACAATTATAGTCAAAAAGTGGGGAATAAGGGACTGCAATGAATTGTGCTGGTTATTACACTTATTACAGCGCTATTCCTATAAACACTTATTTAGAGCTAGCACACATTTACCGCTCATTTATTGCTTTTGTATATTTATTATTTCAATAATATAACGCTGAGTCTAAAGGTATTATCTATTAATATATGTGTACTAAAAGTATACAGAATTTGCGAAAATAGAGACAAAATAATTGTTTGAAGGTATGGTTGAATCGATAGTTGCAGTGATTATAAGATAGAGATGTGGTCTGAGTCTCAGTAATAGTGTTGTCGCACACGACCCGATGTGTCTCATGTGTCTCATGTGTCTCATCCCACTCTAGGCTCCTCTTCATCTGTCAGTCTTTTCTCTCTTTTCTCTCTTTTCTCGGATATCTTGTCTTTCAATCAGATCTGAGGGTATATTCACGTATAGAGTATAAAGTAATATATCGTTTCAATTGCAATATATTATAGAGAGAAGAGTATTAAGCGAATGAATGGTATTATTGGCTAATTGGCCGAAACGAGACATTTAGTGCTCAACTTTTTACCAAATGTAAGAAAAGTCACTATAATTGGCATTTTATGGCCTCTCTCTATAGCCTTTGGCTATTTTGCGTGGAATTGTGTTCAACACCACACTATAGCCAGAACTGTATGACTATTTTGTGTCCTTTATGTGTGTAAACGGACTTTCGGTCGTAAAATAAGTGCTCATAAAAGTGCAAAACCTAATTGAGCCGGAATGCAATGCACGCGTTGATTGTGTTATATGATTGTCTATGACTGAGTCGTTGGGCCAATATTTCTGATAAATAATTGAGTGCTAAGCAAATCCTCAAGAAATAAATAATTCAAGTTTCAAAATCACTAAATAAAAGCTGAAATAAACACTAAAAAGCTGCAATTTGCTGATAAAGTACAGATAATTTTGTTTTATGTATTTTTCAAATAAATAAATATTTTCTTATATTAAACTCGAGTTGAATTTCAAAGTGAATCGAAATTAATGAGAAAAAGAGTATTATTGCGGAATTGAGTTCACAATTAATTATATATGAGTTCTATATTATTATTGTTGTTATTAAGTTTCATATGTTTTATGTAATCGTAATATCAGTGCTATTAAAGTGCTATTTATATACAGAATTCAACATTATTTGAATTGTTTTGTAATTCAATTTTTTGAAATAATGGGTTTTAATAAGTTTTCATTATTTCCTTCTTTAATGATCGACTTATTATTTTACTGTAGATCTGAATACAACTTAAATATTATATTATTTAAATTATATTAAATCTGTTATTAAAAGTTACTAATTATTAATTAATATTTATAGATATGAGTGACAAGATTAAATGATAACGTTTTATATCAGAAACCAATTAAGATTTTCTATAAAGTGTTTTCATTTGAAGTTGGTTGACATAACATTGTTATTGAACGAAGTGTTCATAATATTGCCGTACAATGACTGGGAGGAGGACTGCATATTAGACGAGTGTCTCATATACGACGGGTGCAAAGGCTGGGCATTTGATTGCATCACATGATTGGAATCGATTGTATTGGGGTTTGTTTGGTATCTGTGGTTGTGCTCAATGGTTGGTTCAGTTTTGATCGACACGAAGTCATCGCAAATGCTGGCAGTGATGTCTTCCCACATCTTGTCCTGAACTAACATATTGTTCATAGAGTTGTACTGTTGTTGTGGATGTGCTGGATGTGCTACCAACCCATTGTGATACTGTTGCGGATTAGCCCTTAACTGATGGGAATGTGTGATAATCTGTTGCTGTGGTTGGAGTTGCGATGTGTTGTAAATCATTTGGTTATTGATTTGCGAATCAAAGAACTCATCGGACTATCGATTAATGATAAGATAGAGTGAGTATAAAGTGAACGAAAGGGTTGACTGCAAGAGTCAAACAGTTTGGTTACCTCTGAGTGTTGATTAGTTCTTAAGATTCTGTGTTTCAGATGGCAATCATTTGCTTGAATTGATGACAAATGATGCATAACTTGAGTGTTGG